AGATCCACACACAAATGAGATGTTTTATAACAGGCAAATAAATGCGCTCTCATGGATCTCGCAAATCCCTTTCCGACATATCGCGAAAAAACTGTCAGTCCTGTGACTGAGACGATGGTTTATCGGTGAGTGAACACTGGAGCGTTTGCATAACCATTGCATACTTTTCTTCTATTCAATCATCAATTCCAAACGTCTAAACCGGATACTGTAGGGAAAAGGTAGCAGGTTTGAAGGAAGTCTACCTCAAATATCGTTTCGTTTCTCAAAGTTTATAAGAAGAAAATCCTTTATATTCCGGCCAACTTTTCCCATTTTTCACTCGTTCAGGGAAGGGGTGGACATTGATTAGGCACTTAAAAAGTTCCAATAGTTTGACGACCGTACCGGCGTGGTAGCAACGAAACAAACAAATACTCGTTGACGACCGAGAATATTGGGGAGGAACAGATGACAGAACGAGAACATTGTTTGCATCTTACACATTTTGGTATTCAATCTGTACTTTTTGTTTCCTAATCTTTTATATGGAACATGATATCAAAGGGCGGTGACCGCACTATTGAGCTGTATGCTAAATCATATCTTCGGAATAACTATCACGTTTTGAATCGTCCCTGGTTACAGCAGGCCATCAATAATGGTGTTATCAAGTGCGTAAAAAGGACCGCTGACGTAAAAAATTTACGGACGCCTTAAGAGATCTATAAAGAAAGCATTCATCGTCATCATCATTATCCTACAGCGTGATACGAGGCGAGTTTTACAGATCACTGCCAAACTCATAACGTAAGTGAGAATGTGTAAAGGGGATAGGGATTGGACCTATTTTGAGGGAGGGAGAAAGAAAGCAAACACCTACGATCAACAGAGTACAAAGACCCATTACACAGACAAGCATTCAAGCAATCTGGTCTGATGAGAAATGAGAGCAAGATCTTCAGTGCTGTCCGACGAAGAAGCCAACTCAGTAGGTCAGTACAGAGTAGATTATGTGCCCAGCAAAAGCCAAAGTAATTTCCTAATCGATTGGATACCCATCAACAGTCGTTTATGTGAAATGTATCAGTTCAGCTCAGTTTGTACAACCATTAACCATGCATTTCCGTACATCTCGAGAGTTCAATCAGCGTCCAGAAAGGAAGCAACACCAAAAGATGTTTGTTTATCATATCGACATATGCACTAACCAATTACACTCAGAACACACCAGAGTTTTGAAACTAAAATCCTCCTTCCACCTAGCTGCACTAAATGTCCGCACACTTTACCAGATCGGTCAACAAGCTGCCTTAGCTAGAATCCTTGAAACCTTCAATTTAGATGTACGCTGTCTCCGAAACACGCATACATTACCCTTATTCAATCACCTCTCTCCGTTCTCCAGATCCAGCCTCATCCGCTTCACTCTGCGTGTATCAGGCGATTCGGGATCCGAAGCTCGCGGTGTTGCTGGTGTTGGGATTGCGCTGAATGTCAAGGCCCAGCGTTCACTTCTCGACTGGATCCCGGTTAGTAGCCGACTTTGCGTTGTACGTCTGGCTGGTTTAAAACCGGTCAACAGCTACAGAACGAAGCGTCGATGCTTATTCATAGTATCCGTGTATGAACCGACTGACTGCAGTTGGCCAGGAATGAAGGATGCATTCTACAAGGACTTCTGTCAATCGCTCCAAAGTGTTCTGTCAACGGACATCGTGTTAGTCGCCGGAGACTTCAATGCTCAAGTGGGATTCTTGGACGAATCAAAAAGGATACTTGGTGGTTCGCATGCAATCCCAGCTAACCGGATTGACAACGGAGAACGCCTACTCCAATTCTGCGCTGACCACGGACTGTTCCTGTCAAGCATCAACTTCTTACACAAAAAACGACGCCGCCTTACATGGAGACCGCCAACCCCTTTACAGTACAGGACTCAAATCGACTATATCGCCATCAGCCACCGTTGGCGTGGATTCATCGAAGAGTTCCGCTCCATACTGAATAACACCCGTGGACACTGACCATGCTCTGCTACGAGCGAGATTTTCCTTACGCTTAGTAAACAAACGTAAAAAAAGCCACCGAAAACGGATGCCCACAATACAGTATCAGCAATGATTGCAAATCGACCTTTGAAGCGAAACTATCTGATCGCCATTCAGCTCAACCATCAGCCAAAGGACTCCGTGAACACTGGAAGGCAATCAAGGATTGCATCCAAATTTTAATCTAAACAACGGATGATTCTGGCGGAGATGGATCTCACCGACCTCGGATGCCTTGCTGGACGCTCGCAAAACTATTCCTTCTGATGCAAAATAAGACAAAGCGCACAAATCCCAGCTAATCAACAGTTTGAGGAATGATGGCGAGAAGTGGTGGGTAGGGAAGTGTAGAGAGATGGAGACGTTTACTAGGTCCAAGGAAAGTAGGCATAAGGAGTCTGACGGCACAGTGATTCATACACAGCAACGCCACCTTCAACTTTCAGCTGAACATTTTAAGGCACAGTTTAATTGGCTCCGGCGAAACAAGGCCTTAACACTATACCTGCTNNNAACTGGACAAATACTGCCAGTTGTCATCAGTCCTCCATCTGAAATGGAGGTTATCCGGGAAGTCAATGGCCTTAAATGGCACAAGGCTTCCGGCCCTGACGGGCTGTTGCCATCGGTTTTCAAGGATGGAGGTCTAGCCTTGGTTTTGAAGTTAACAAAACTCCTGGGATACGTGGAAACGGGAGAAGGTCCCAAAGGAATGATG